AAGGTTGCATTGGACACTTGTTCGATTGCTCCCTTAACTTTTGAAAACTAGATTCTGACTGTTTAAATTACGTCGTTTCGCAGTGTTTTCTAAATCCATTTATACGCATAATGGCTACAGATGTCAACATGGATAAATAATGACCTCTTCTCGACGAGCGGCAAATGCTGATGAATGTGCCAAAACGATCCTTTTCATCGGTGAAATTACAGATATTACCTCTAAAATTAATCTCTTATTATTTTGTCTTGTAAGCCTGAATCCTCCAAGTGCTCTTGTATTTCTCTCTCCTTGATATAATTGTGATCCACATCTCTCAGCGCCATGACTAAAACTCTGAAAGAAGAACACAAAAATACGTGTCAGCACAAAGCGACGCACCCGCTAAGCAAAGGTGTTACATATAATTTTCTCTTTGTCGGCAGCAATTCTTGATCATTATGATTATTACTACTGAGGTAGGAAGAAAATGATTGCTAAAATGTTTCGTTAAAAAGGTTTTGTAGACCGACGAGTCGTGCGATAACAAATAATATTACCCTGTGCGTTTCTTGCTTTTTCTTCTATCAGAATACTTATCACAATATAAACTCTTTATTGCTGTCGTACATTTCTTTTAATGCAAGTTTTGAGAATTTGGGGCTGCATCAAAGCAACATCCTATGGTCAATGATTTTGTTTTGGTTATATAACTGGCACGGTCGAATAAAAAAGCGAAGTTTGGTTAAACTTCTGATTATCGCGGATGCAACATTGAGAAATGGAATGTCGTGTCTTGTTTTGAGCTCGGGGAACAATCAGAATGGCAAAGATATTAGTGACGTCACCTACTGATATTGATATGCCAACCAGAGAACTATTGGCTGGTGAAACAAAGAGTTCTTTTGTTTAATGTTTTGAACATTCAAATAACAAAAACAATGTTTGTAAACAAATATCTTCCCTATAGCAAAGATATCAGTGACGTCACCTATTGTTATTATATGCCAAATAGAGAACTATTGGGTGGTGAAACAAAGAGTTCTTTTGTTTAACGTTTTGAACATTTAAATAACAAAGA